CCCCCTTCTCTCTCCACCTTCCTCCTCCTCCTTCACTTCGCCAATCTTATTCTTCTTCCAATAATAATAATAACAATGAGTGGATGAACCAGAATCAATATCTGAAGTTCCCTCTTACTGCTGACATCACAATAGGTCCACCATAGCTATGGCTTCCCCCCTTCTTCCACCTCTCACATGCCTAGGCTATGGCGGACTACTGAGGGCTCTGCCCTCCTGTGCAAAGGACAACGCAAAGCAGCTATGTCGCTGCACTCCTGTCCAAAGGACAACCCAAAGCAGCTATGCCGCTGCTGACTAAGCCGCCATGCCTGACTCTGCCTCGAGCTCCCTTGGTGCGGCGCTACCCCAACTGGGGCCTTCCAGATGCAGCGCCCAACAAGGTGATGAAGATGGTGTCCACCATAGCCAGGTAGGTACCTCGCCACTCTCCTCCTTCGCCCCCTTCTTCCTCCTCCTCAGGCTGGGCTGCTCGCCATAGCCAGGCTGAGCGCCCAGCTGCTCGTCACCTCCAGGCAGCGCTGCCCAAGTCCAGCGGTTGGCTCCAGCAGCATGTCGCCAATCCTTGCATACCGCAAATGAGGAGGAGCTTCTTGCTCCTCCGGAAGATATAGCGGCCTACTGGCCTCTTGGGCGGTGATTTCCTAGGCCGAGCGGCCTCCCAGCAACCGGTACCTCCTCCCTTTCGGAGGGAAACACCATTGCAGGCTCTGCTATTGTCCGGACAGGCCCTAGACTCAGGCTACTTGGACTGGTACCGGCCTACCTCTATCCTACCGCTACTGGCCCTCTAAAAATGCCAACTTTTTGTCTTCTTCTGCTCGGCCTCCAGTACCCGACACTTCTACCACTACTTGAGTGGTACCGGCCTACCTGCTACTTGAGTGTTTTTCCCCGCTGCTCTAAGTGTTGCGGGCCTACCCCCGCTACTTGAGTGTTTTCCCCGCAGCAACCCTCAAAGTCATGGCCACAGGTAAGTACCAGCCCTGCGGGGCCTTTCAACCAACAAGTTTGCGGGTCACACACACACTCAGCCGACAAGCACTCAGACAGGCACGCAAACCAGCAGGCACGCACACACACAAAGACTTGGAAACCACAGCAGAATGCGCGAATCTCCGCAAGGCATTCATTCCAGCGGCAAATCCCAGAAATCAGCAGTGTTCTCAGTCTGTGTTTTGGTGCGTCATTACAACTGTCTTTTTCATGCAAATGGGATGCATAGTAGCACACGTGTTACCGACGACTCGGCGACGAGTATTTTGCATACCTTGCATTGAATAAGACAAGACAACACACACACACGTAAACGTCTTTGAAACTCTACAATGTCGACATCTCACAGCTAAAAAAAAAAAAAAAGAAGAAGAAAAAAAAAAGACATGATCTTTGCATGGCAGCGATCTGGACCTCCAGACAGGGATCCGGACCGTCCGGTGTCCGGTGTCCGGTGAACGTGTCCGGATCCCGGTCCAGATTCAAGGCCCTTTGGCCAACGGCCAAATTTTTTTTTGTTTGTCCAGGGCGTTTCGTCTCGCCCAGGGCTGCCAGCCAAAAATACGAGCAGAATTTTTTTGGCCCTGAAGGGGCATCCGGTAGGGCCTGAATTTTTTTTTTTTGCCTGTGGGAAGTTTTCTTCCTTCTATGTTTCTGACCGTTTGAATGTCAACCTTGCATCGTGGCAGCTTCGTAGTGGGCACAGTCTTTGAATTCATCATCCCGTCTTGCGAGTTCGCCCCCCCCCCC